TTTATTGAGCACTTAAGATATTTGAGTCACTGTTCTATACATTTTATGCTTTTTTCACTTAATCCCATAAACCCTATAAGATAGGTAATACTGTTATCCTCATTTTACAGAATGCAGAGTCAGGCAAACTCGCCTGGCAGCCATGCAGCTTGTAAGTGTGGAGCGTGGGTTTATGTTCAGGCAACCTGGTTCTAGCGCAGACTTTGTTTTTTTGGCTTGGAATTCTGTCATTTTTCTCAGTATAGTGCAGACACCTAACCACCATGCTTCGACATGGAAGGCACCACGGCTGAATTAAAAGAAAAAGGGACCTGCCCACTGGTTCTCAGCCTTCCAGGAAGAGTGGGAACAGTTTTCTCTCTTCCTTCCCTTCTTCTCTTGCCTACCTCTGCAATTTTCTCCCACCTCGTGGGAGGGTTCAAGGAGAATCGTCCCTTCCATCTAAGCCCTGGATGGCATTCCCCATTCTTCCTCTAGGAGTTTAATCCAAATAAACCCTCTCCATGTCTTCAAAACCACCTCCTGCTCTGATTTAAGGGCTAATGGCAGAAAATTCTTAGAGAACAAACTGTCTCCGTGGGCCATTTTGCCTGGAGAAAATAAAATCTGGGCAGGCCACACTGGATGAGGAGAGACACAAAAATGTAAATGGCTCAACAGAAGAAATAAAAAATAATTTGCTGAGGTTAGCTGGTGGGGAATAGGAGGGTCTTGACACATGGCACAGTGAAGCAGGAGCCCCAGTAGGAGGAAGAACAAAAGGAATTTTTTTTCTTTTCTGAGATAGAATCTTGCTCTGTTGCCCAGGCTGGGAGTACAGTGGTATGATAGGTTCAAGCAATTCTCTTGCCTCAGCCTCCCAAGTAGCTGGGGCTCCAGGTGTGCACTGCCACACCTGGCTGGTTTTTGTATTCTTAGTAGAAATGGGGTTTCACCATGTTGGCCAGGCTAGTCTCGTACTTCTGATCTCAAGTGATCCTCCCACCTTGGCCTCCCAAAGCACTGGGATTACAGTTGTGAGCCACCATGCCCATCCCCAAAAAGAAGCATCTGAGGGCCATGTTGGCCAAGGAACTTTGGAGAAAGAAACGCATTCAATGCTGCAGTTTTCTATAACAAGCTGTGCTATAACATCCACTGTTCTCAACCCTTGCGTGAAGTCCACTGGATGTGGTCTTGAACTGGTGGCACTTTGAGAAGCAAAATGTTTGAAGTGGTGTCCTGCAGACAGTACCTTGGGGAGAGGCACTGCTCTTCTTGAGGGTGGTAGTAGACGCAGAGGCCTGAGGGGGTTTTAGGAAATGTGAGTCACTCCTTTCCAAGGCATTTTGGTGCATTAGGAGGAATCCTGGATTTGTTAGGATATGTGGGATGGGCACTTGAGCCTATTTTTACCTAATTCTTAAGGACAGTTGACCTCAGCTACCTGAAGTATGTGGGGTTGGCCAGAGTTGAACCTCTCCTTGCTCCACGCTCTCAATTTCCTTTGCTACCGACTTTTCAACTCATTCTCCGCCTCTGCCTCCATAAACCTCTCCCATTTACCATGGAATTTACTTTCTCCTCTGCTGTAACTGCTGTAACCTTGGCTCCATTTCCTGACTTCTGATTTTTCTCTCTCCTTCACAACTCATCAGTTTAGAAAGGTTTCCTGGGTAAAAATTTCCCCTAGGTTCAGGGATCTCCTGGAAACATCCCTTCCATTTCCTTCTCCACCCCCACTTCTCATTCAGTGTCTCCCAGGTCCATGTGCAAAACCAGGAAGAAACTGGGACTTCTACAGATGTAAGGGAGAGAGTGTATTGGTCAGAGTCCAGCTGCAGACAGCAGAACACATTCTAGCCAGTCTAAAGCAGAGAGGGATTAAGGGGTACTCAGTGACTTACCAAATTATTGGGAGGTTGAGTTTATAGGACCAGCTCTCAAAGCCATACTACAAAACAGGGACACCAAGGCAGCCGCTGAATCTCCCGCAAACATGACGTTGCTCATAAAATTTGAAAGCTCTTGCAATAGCTGCATGCTCTAGAAATACCCCATCCAAGCCACAGTCAGGAAGGCAGTAGAAATGGGATACACAGGACACCAACATGACCTGGTGATATGCCGTAATAGAGAAATCCATGCTATTTAGCAGCTCAAGAATTTTGACATATCTGCTACAATCCATACTTGTAAAATCGATTCTGCGGGCTGGGTACTGAGACCATACTAATTCTGCCATAGTGGTGTTCGCCTCCAGAAATAGCAGAAGCAGAAGTGTGGTATTCATCTCACTGGCCACCTCAAAGCGTTCACTAGTGATTCCAATTAGTGGAACATAAATAATATCTAGAACTCTATTGCAAGAAAGCCTGGAAAATGCTGTTTGACTTGCTGAATGTCTGCTATACAGGCAGGCATGCAAAAAGTTTGGAAGGGATGTGTGCTTAAATGAATTGCGTTTACTGTAGTGGGTTATCCTTGCTCTTCGGTGGCTCTTCAGGATCCCCTTCTCTAAATAGATTTCTTGTCCGCTCTTTGGCATGACAAGGATAGTCCTGTTTGGCTCGGGGACGGATGACTCACAATCAGACTATTATTTATCACAGATTGCATCAGAGCCTCTTCCAACTTGTTGCCACAAATGTAGTAATGGCTATGGGTGGATAAATCGCCCTCCGTGACACCGAGCCATTGCACAGATTTGCTTGCAGTCTACACCATAGATGGCCTGGGGGCCACCTTGTAATCTCCTTTTGGGGGCAGAGAGCAAAATCAGAAAGGATGAAACCCTTCAGACTTTTTTCTAGGAAAATAGAAGTAGCAGGTCAGCTTATTTTCAGCACCACGTTTTAATGATCCTCGTCTCTCTTGCAACTGGAAACAGTACACACTATCTTTTCTCTCTCTTTTTAAAAATTCTTTCAGTGTTCTCTAGTTATGTCCAACTGGTTCTAGTCATTAGTAGACTCTTCCTGAGATAGTCCAGCTCCGCTGGAAACCTTACCAGAAAATAGAGTCCATTTCTGGCCTAGTGTTGCCGGAGTTTTGATAAGCCTCCAAAGTTTTGGTTGTTTATTCAGATTGAGCTTCTGAATCTCTGGAGATTCACCCCTTGCAACTGGTAAGCAAACAGCCTGCAGGGAAAAAAAAATCACACATTTTTTGGCTGATCCTTGGAAAAATGTCTGCCTTTTCTCTGCCAGATTTACTAATTTACACGTGTTCCAAAGCTGAGGCCAACTGGTTGAAACTGGAAAGCTGATTTTTAACAATTGAACAATCCAACAGTGAAAATTATTTGAATTATTTCAATACCAGACTGAGATTTAACTATTCTTACTTAAGGTTAAAGGGATTATGTGGATTATTAAAAAGTTTAGAAATTGAGCCTAAAAATATAGGAGCTGGATTTTTTTTTTTTGCAGGAGCTGGATTTTTTAAAAATGAAAAATATAACTTAAGATGTATAATAAAGGTCAGGGGTTGGATTACAGAGTCGGAGTATTTGTATTTAGAAGGGAATTTGTGGGTTCTAATATTCCTGATAGGTTGTCTTCTGTTATCTTGGGTAAGTGGGTGTTACTGTAAATATGATTTGAATTTTCATCCAATGTTAGAAAATTCTTGGCAAAACACAAGGATGCATTTGTTTAGAGGAAGATAATAACATTCGTTACAAAGCCATGGTATTCAATTATCTCTTCATAAGGATTAGATGTTGGTTCAAATTGTGGGACTAGTTATATGAACTTGTGAATGTTACACATTCTTTCTGAATTTATTTCTTCATCAATATGTAATTCAGCCTTTTGTATTCTCACCAACATTGCTTAAAACAGCTGAATTTAAGGATGATAAAGCATATTACATTATTTATTCTTCCACCAGAGCAATGGAATATTCCTCAAATATTTCTGAGAGTCTTAGGGTTACTTTCATTAACTCCCATACGAATCCACTTAGCTATCATGTCGACCATCATGTGGAACACTCTTCTCTGTAATATTCGACAGGTGCCTTCATATCTGCTGGCTGCTAGTGAACAGTCAGCGCTGTGTTGTGATATGCAGCACATCTCCAGTGCCGTATTTGGCCTGGTGTGGCCATCAATATACTGCATACCTTGATGTGTCAAGGCTATAAGGTAGTTTGTAGCCAAGTGTGTATAAGACTACCTCATTCTATGTATTACTTACGATATTTGTAGTTGAGAATTAATAGAAAACTCAACCAAATTTGGCTCAAACAAGTAGAAACTATCTGTTGAACAATAAAGCAGATGTCCAAAGGTAAGAAAGCATACGTACTAGTAAGGATTGGGTTAGGTAGCAAGAAACAGAGACCCAAACTAACAGTAGCTTAAATACGCTTTGTTTCTTTCTCACATATATAGGGCCAGAGATAGGAAGGCCAAGGCTTCTATAGAAACAGCACTCAAAGGAGTCTGGAGAAAGTTCATCTTCTTCTAGACTCCTTCCAGCTCCCTACTCTGCCATTTCCTACATTAGTGAGGCATTGCCCCCGCGGACTCAATTGGCAACTAGAGCTCCAGCTATTGTATTCATGCTCCCAGCAACTGGAAGAAGAGATAGATGAAGATGTCTATGACCCAGCATTCTTGTAATGGAGGTGCCCACAAGTTGCCACATGATGCGTTTGCTTATATTCCGTCAGCCAAAGCTCAGTCACATGGACACACCAAACTGCAGAGAGATGTCATCTTTACTCTGGATGGCCAAGTGCTTGACAAAACCCCATGGAAAATGGGGAGAACAGTTTTGTGTGGAATTGTTTCTGCCAAAGCATCTTTCATGTTGTTGACTACCATGGACTTCAACTGTTTTCCTGTGAGTCTCTTGGCTTTGCCTACTCGGTGTTTGGTTTCCTTTTAATTTGGTAACAAAACAATTAAAGCAGTTCCAGAACATGCCTATTGTGACTGTGTGCAGAGAGAAGAGGTGGCTTCTGGGCATTCTCCTAAAGGAATGTGAGAGAATTTTCTCCCAAGACCCTATCAAGGCTGGATTGAGTCTTGCTTACTTTTGCACCAATCAATGGCAAAGGCGAAAGGATTACTTCTAGATGGCTCAAGTGCTCCCCCAGACTGGGGACGTTTCCCCAGAGTAAGCTTCTTGGTCAAAAAGGAAGCATAGATAACTGAACAAAGTCAAGGTTACGTTAGGTAAAACAAAGGGAGAGAATAGATGTCGGGAAGGGGACTCTCTGATCTGGCCAGGGAAAGGTGGCATGAAAGCCCGCCGTTTCTGGCCCATGGGCACAAGCAACTTCTAGAAAAATGACTCTTAAAGTTTTATATATTTATTTATTTACTTATTCATTTACATGGGCTCTGTCTGTCACCCAGGCTGGAGTGTGATGGCCCACACATGGCTCACTGCGATCTTGACCTCCCAGGCTCAAGCAATCCTCTCATCTCAGCTTCTTGAGTAGCTGGGACTACAGACATGCATCACCATACCTGGCCAACTCTCTTTTAAAATCTTTTTGTACAGATAGGATCTTGGTATGTTGCCTGGGCTGGGTCTTTGTGTTATTTATTTATTGATTTATTTATGCTGTTGTTGTTTTCTTTCACATTCCCTTGTTGTCATAGGACCCAGACAGACAGAATCCTACAGGTAGGTCCAAGGATGTCAATAGCAGACCTCTAAAATAGGGTATTTATAATCGGGTCAAGATCACTGTGCTCAGCTCTCCCTTCCCTTAATGTGACATGCTTCCCCCTCATAAATTTCTTCACTCTTTCATGCAAACAGATTCCACAGGGCATAGCAAGATGGACAGAGCTCCTATCCAAGTTGGAACCTACATTATATATAAAATAGGAATAGTAGTCACCCATCCCAAAATGTTATGAAACTTGAATACATGGCCTTTGAGTGTAGGTTGTCACTTCTTCACACCAAATCCCCAGACAGCAGGGCATAACGCATGGTGGTAAATAACATGTAGTTAGATGTTTTGGCATTAGATTAAACAAGATAGCACATGTAGATGCGTAGCATACGGCACACATTTTATCAATGTGAGTTCTCTTCCTGCAGAGGCTCTCGATGTCATCTGTCACACCTACTTCAGAGGAATTTCAATACCTGTGGACTGTGCCCTAAGGTCCCAGTTTATACATCTAGCATCAAAGCCAAATTCACTTTTAAACTACCCCTGAACTCATGTCCCAGGCTGAAACATAAAGGAAGATGATTTATTTATCTATTTTCCTAGGAGAGGAACAAATCTAACAGCAAAAGAAAGAGCATTCTTTCCATGTCATTCCATGAAGAGAAGTTCTGCTGAGGTTGCAAACATGGGTAGTTGAGTCCAGTGTGCTGAGCACTAAGCAATATGGAAATCAAAGAGCCCTGGGTAAATTGGCTTGACACCGGCCGTAGTTATTGAATGAAACATTATTTTAATGAAGAAAGAGGCCATTGTTAGTGAATGCAATTCAGCTATAATGAGGTTGTAAAAACTTGCATTTTGTTATTGATCCTATAAGAATGATAAGAAAAGAAATCATGGGAATTATAGGTGACTACTTTTTATTAGGCAATGATAGTTTTTTCAGACAAGGAATGGCTGTTTCCTGAGGTGTTTAAACTTTGTCTAATCATGTAAAAATCACCATAGAGCATTTGCAGTAATCTTGCTTTCTTTTCCAATTTTGAATGGTAGTTGTCCTGTACGTGCTTCATATATTGGTCATAAATTGTACTCTTAATGGTAAGGCTCCCTGATATAAGTTTATATATTTGTTGCCGTATAGAATTGACATATGTGAAATCAAATTGTATTAAGTTATTTGCTAGGAGCAATGTAAAGGATGCCTCATCCAACGGAGTTGATTTTATTTATTTTGTATTCCCTAGGAAGATGACTTAGTCAGTCATTCCATACCTAGGGTGAGATCCGGGGTCATCTCTTCCAGGGGCTGGTTAAAAGATGGACTCCCTTCTCTCCTCAAGCCTCATTCAGTGGTGGCCCCTCCCCAGACCCGGAACCTAAGCCCAGTCTTGGAAAAGAAATCTCTCTGTAGAGTTCACAGAAAAGACGTTAAACTTACAAACCAGAATTTTTCTTTTGGAAAAAGTTGCTAGTGTTTTGCCAAGTTCTTTTACACATCCAGACAATTTCTCACTTCTGCATTCTTTTCACTTCTAATTTTGCATTTCTCCTTTGCTCCTCCACGGGCATCCGTGGAACATGGTTTTGCTGTGATGAACAGGACCAAGAAGGTCTCTGCTCTCACAGAGCTCACGTGTTCAGAAAGAGACACACTGAAATTGAGTAAAGAGAAAAGTAAAGAACTGTGATAATAGCAGATGGTAAAAGTGCTGTAAGAAAGCGAACCAAGGTAAGGTGGTAAAGAGTGTTTGAGGGCCACATTCACTGGGGTGCTCCGAAGGCCTCTCAGAAGAGGTGGCGTTTGCTCTGGGACCTGGTTGAAGGTGTTCTGTCACTCTCTACCTTGAATCGCAGCTATTAACTTTAATCTTCCATCCTAGTTTCTTTAACTTTCTAAGTTCCTTAAGGGAACTATCTTTCTCTAACCCGGTCTTTGAATCCTCCAGAGCTCACAGCCTTATACCTTCTACTTTGGAGGTGTTCGATCAGCAGGTGCTAAAAGAATGATGATGATCTCATATTGACCCACAAAGCCCTAAGAATTATAACCACATATACATAGTGGCCAAGTCACTTGATTAAAGTAGTAAGTGAGTACCACCACTCCACCATGCTTTTCTTTCTGGAAGCTCATAGGTGGTTCTTTAGAGCAATGTGGATGTAATTTTAGGTAGGGGACTTCACGTTTTTTGAAATTATGGAAATACCGGTTTAAAAAATATGGAACACCACTACAAAGTCAAAAAGTTGACAATTCTTCACTCTGACTGCCGGGAGATGATGGTTTAGGCAGGATACGAACAGGAGAATTACACTACATCTAGGGTATAGTCAGCAGTTTTTGAAGCCTCTGAGTGGAGAGCTGCTTTAGATCACAGACATAAAAAGGCTTGGAAGTTTATAATTTAATGCTAATTATGTAGGATCTAGGAAAGGCCAACACTTTCCATGCAGTGGTACTGGGAAGTGGGGAAGTAATATTGTAGAAACTCAGGACATAAATGAGGAAAACTCTTCAGCTACCATCTGATTTACTCTGATAGGACTTCCTTCTCTTTAGTAATGTTCACTGGGCTTTATGAGATTCACCTTTTAACCTATGTTGGTATATTAGAGTTCTCCAGAGAAAACAGAACCAATGGGATGTATATAGATAAGGGGGTTGCTTTTATTACTAGGAATTAGCTCACACAGTTATGAGAAGTTCTGAGATCTGCTGTCTGCAAGTGGAGAGTCAGGAGAACTGATGGTACAGTTCTAGTCCAAGTCCAAAGCCCTGAGAAGTAGGAGAGCTGATAGTGTATGTTTCAGTCTGAGCCCGAAGGCCTGAGAACCAGAAGAGCTACTGGTTCCAGTCCAAGTCCCAGATAGAAGGCTGGAGAACACTGATGTTCCAACTTGAAGACAGAGCAAATTCTCTTTTATTCAGCCTTTTGTTCTCTTTAGATCTTCAATCGATTGGATGAGGCCCACCCACATTGCAGAGATCAATCTGCTTTACTCAGTCTACCAATCCAAATGTGACTCTCATCCAGAAACACCCTCACAGACATATTCAGAACAATGTGCAACCAAATATCTAGGCACCCTGTGGCCCATCAGATTGACACATAAAGCTAACCATCACAGACGGAAATCCATGTTTCTGAGGGAACCCATTCCAGGGAAGAAGACGTCCGCAGGTAGGGTTTTGGAAACTACTGATCAGAAGATAAATGTTTCATTGGCAAAGGAAAATGCATAAAGCTTAGATTACAGTGATGAAATGTGTTAAGTTTGGAAATCTAGGAAAATTTGCACCAAAGAACATGACATTGTGGGAGAGCAGAGAAGAGGGTGTTGGATGTCTGGATTCTTTTGAGTGCAGCAGTGTGATGAGCCAAGAACACAATAGGCATTCAGCCAGATGGAGCATGCCTGGTACTGTTGCCTTGTGCGAATGGCATTGTCATGAGACAAGCCACCTGCAAATGAAGGAAGCTGTCATTAGGAGAGGGCAACAAGGAGTCCAGGAACATCACTTTGGGAAAGGTCTGTTGATGAATTTGGGGAATTTATGCAATGAACATGGGATGAAATTGCAAGATGCAAATCCAAATAATTGTACTAGAGGATGAAGATTCAGAAACTTCTTGAACAATGCAGACCTGCTACAGTTCTTGCTGACTCAGTCACAGCCAGTATAAGCTTAATAGATATTGCTGAATTCACATTGCTTCCCTTTTTCCACATTGTGTCTTTCCTGTACAGAGGGCATCAGGACCTATTCTTCTCATGGCTTTATTAGATTGGCCTGAACTATCAGCAACTGTGGTGGCTTGCTGCTATTATCATCCTTCCTGCTTCTCACTGCTACCCAGGAGAGTCCAGTCCACCAAAAATGGTTACAATCAGGTGATAGGCAACTTCCTGGTACTTACACCCTTGGGCAATCCCCTTCCCCCTGAGGGTGGGTTGGACTCACTAACTTTTAACAAATAGAATATGGAGAAAGTGATGAGATGTTATAAAAAGATTAGGCTGGCCGGGCGCGGTGGTTCAAGCCTGTAATCCCAGCACTTTGGGAGGCCGAGGTGGGTGGATCACGAGGTCAAGAGATCGAGACCATCCTGGTCAAAATGGTGAAACCCCGTCTCTACTAAAAATACAAAAAATTAGCTGGGCATGGTGGCGCGTGCCTATAGTCCCAGCTACTCAGGAGGCTGAGGCAGGAGAATTGCCTGAACCCAGGAGGCGGAGGTTGCGGTGAGCCGAGATTGCGCCATTGCACTCTAGCCTGGGTAACAAGAGCGAAACTTGGTCTCAAAAAAAAAAAAAAAGATTAGGCTACGAAAAGACTGGCTTCCACACTCTCTCATTCTCTCTTTTAGATCCCTTGGCATAAGGAAAGCAAGCTTCCCTGTTGTGAGCAGCCATATAGAGAGACCCACATGACAAGGAGCTGGTATCTCAAGCCAGCAGACAGCAAGGGGCTGAGGCCTGCTGACAGTCACGTGGGTGAGTATGGAAGTAGACCCTTCTCCAGCCGGGCTTTCAGATGACTGCAGCCTCAGCCGACATCTTGGTTGCAGCTTCAGGAGATACCCTGAGTTGGAAGCCTCCAGCTAAGCCTTAAATGGATTCATGACTCACAGAAACTGTGAAATAATAAATGTTTTTAGCCACTAAAGTATGGGATAGTTATGCAACAATAAATAACTGATACATATAGAAAGAAGGGGAGATCAACAGAGGTACATGAAAGAGAAAGAAAATACTTCAATGAAGACTTCCAACTTGCAGTCAATTATTAAACAGCACATCACTAAACCTGCAGAACTGTGCTTCTGAAAGTCACACTCATCACTTGATATGTTTGTTTAAACTCTCTGTAAGATGTAAGGGACTTAGTAGTCCTAAAAACATTTTTCTACATTGTCTCACTTTACTGACATTCTCTGTTTAGGGAGACATTGTTCTTACACAATAGTCTTTATTTCTTTAGACAATTTCCTTGGTTCTTTGAACATGTTTAAAACAATTGATTTGAAGGCTTGGTCTAGTAAGTTCAAAATCTGGGGTCCTGCAGAGATAGCTTCTATGACTACTTTCTTCTCTGCGTATAGGCCATACTTTTTTGTTTCTTTGCACATCCTGGATTTTTGTTGTTGTTGTTGTTGAAACTAGGCATTTTAGATAATATGATGTGGCAACTCTGGAAATCACATTCTCCCCCATCCGTTTGGCTTCACATTGTTGTCTTGTGATATGGCTTGGCTATGTCCCCACCCAAATCTCACCTTGAATTGTAGTAATACCGTGTGTCAAAGGTAGAGATGATTGAATCATGGGGACTATTTCTCCCAGACTATTCTCATGGTAGTGAATAAGTCACATGAAATCTAGTGGTTTTATAAATGAGAATTCCTCTACACAAGCACTCTTGCCAGCTGCCATGTAAGACATATCTTTGCTTCTCCCTTGCCTTCTGCCATGATTGTGAGGCCTCTCCAGCCATGTGAAACTGTGAGTCCATTAAACCTCTTTCCTTTAAAAATTACCCAGCAGCGTGAGAACAGATGAATACATATTGTTTCTCCACATTGTGACTTCTGTGAGTGAATTCTGTCAAGTCTGTCTTCTTTGTCATCATTAATTCCCCTATTGTTCTGCCTACCCACCAATATTCTTTAGCAAGTCATTAGGAAAACCTCTAAGCTCTAGCTCTAAAATCTGTGCCCTTTACTCCAGCTGCACTGCTACCACCCTAGCCCAAGACTCCTGCATTTCTCTTCTAGAACTTTCCCCAATGGATTTCTTACTTCCCCTTCCCCTTCCATATTCTGTTCTCCCCACAGCATCCAGGATGGACTTAGGTTATAAAAAGACTGTCTTCTACTTGGTATCCCCCACCGAAGCTAGCACTGTGCTTTGCACATCGTAGATGTTTAATCAATGTCTACTTGCACACAATACATTTGCTTCTGTTACTCTTTTGCCTATTCCCCTCCCGTGGCTTCCCTTCCAGAACCCATGAGGGCCTGGCTGATATGGCCCCTCTCTGCCTCTCACACTTCCTGTCCTCCTCTTTTCCTTACTTCCTGGACTCTGGCTCCCTGGTTTTTCTACAATTGCTCAGACACATCAGGCTGACTTTCATTTTGGTGCCTTTGGACTTTTGTCTTCCTTGCTTGGAACATTCAGACCAACAGTTTCCTGTGGTTACCTCCTTTGCATTAGGAACTTCTTGGCTCCAATGTCACGTGCTCAGAGAGGCCTTCCTTACCATGCTATCTAATGGAGCGACTCTACCCAAATCCATTTCAACCCTACAGTCCTGTCTGATGACAATCACAGCAGGTAATTAATTGATCAGTTTGGAAATTATCTTGTTTGTTTAATTGGTTGTCATGGTGATACTCTACCTTTTTCTTGAAAATATAAACATCACAGGAGCCAGGATCTTAACTGTATTATTTTCCAGCATCTGGACGAGTGCTTAGCACATAGAAACTAATAAGTGCTCAGTAAGTTATTTGTTGAATGAATGAAGGAATAAATGAATGGGGATACATGCAAAGGTAGTAAAGCAAAGTGTGTGGGCTTGGATTCACGAGGAGGAAGGACTGAAATAATAATAGTAGCCATAGTGATAATGACTATAAAAATATCAGATAGGACTAGTCTTTAGGAGCTATCTTTGTTGTCATCTCATTTTCCATGAAAGAGAACTTGGCTTTTTGTCACATCCTCCCTCCACCTAAAAAAAAAAAAAAAAAAAAAAAAAAATCAAATTTCACCAAGGTTTAGTAAGTAGTGGTAAATATAGCACACAGCATGTGCCAGGCCTATTATAAGCCTCTTGCATGCACAAACACATTTAATTCTCACAAGAACTTTATGGGGTAAGTGCTATTATTATCTTCACTGTACAGATAAGGAAACCAAAGCATGAAGATATTGGATTAAATCAGACAGAGTTGCATAGCCCAAAGTCACAGAGCCAGAGGTGGGAATGGAGCCAGGGGGTGAAATGAGGCACTCTGGCTCCTGAACCTATGTTCTTAGCCACCACACCAAGGGCTGAACTAGTGAAGGCATTAGAGAGAAATGGTGGAGAATGGTCTATCACACAGAACAAGGCACAGTAGTAAAATCACTGCTAAGCCTCTCAGTTCTTCCTGTGATGTTTCGTTTCAGCCAATAGCTGCTCTGTTGCCTCATCAGCTCCCCCAAATGGACCCTGTCGTTTGATGGACACGACTGCCTTCTAATCACACTCATCATTCATTTAGCATGAATGTTCAGAGGACCCTTCTTTAGAACTAGTGGAGAATGATAAATCACTTTTCCCAACACAAATTTGTTTATTACACTGTCACATGAATAATAATGATATTCAAGTATTAGGGTTTGGGATCGTGGTTGTGAGAGATGTAATAAGTTTTATCTTTCTAGTTTATTTTCTTCCTCTAAAAAAATCATGGTGATTCCAATTAAATATCTTTTTCTTCTTTTTTTCTTCTCTTCTTCCTTCCTCCCTCTCCTTCCCTCCCTCCCTACTCCCTTCCTTCTTTCTTCCCTCCTTCTCTTCCTCCTTCTTCTTTTCCTTTCTCTCTCTCTCTCTCTCTCCCTCTTTCTCTTTTTCTTTCTTTAATATGAGATGGATCTTACTACATTGCCTAAGATGTTAAACTCCTTAACTCAAGAAAACCTCCTGCCTTAGCCTCTTGAATAGCTGGGATTCAGGTATGAGCCACGGTGATTGGCTTAAATTCACTTCTTGACCATAGAAAAACTGTTTCCCTTCTGGCTTTGTCCTTAATTGTACCTGGGAAACAAAGATATCCTATAAAATAAAGATAAAAGTGTAAATTAAACATAGAAAAGAAATAAGCTAGAGAAATGCGAATTAAAACCACACAAGATACCATTTTATACCAGTCAGAATAGTTACTAATAAAAAGACAAAAAACAACAAATGTTGTCAAGGCTGAGAAAAGGGAAGGTTTTCTACACTGTTGGAGGGAATTAGTACAACCTCTATAGAAAATAGTATGGAGATTTCTCAAAGGACTAAAACTAGAACTACCATTCAAACCAGTAATCCCACGATTGATTATCTGCCCAAAGGGAAAAAATCATTATACAAAAAAGACCTGTATGTTTATTGTAATACCATTTATAATAGCAAAGACATAGAATCAACCTAAGTATTCATCAGTGGAGGATTGGATAGAGAAAATGTGTTATATACACCACGGAATACTATTCAGCCAAAAAAAAAAAAAAGAATGAAATCAGGTCTTCTGCAGCAACATGGGTGGAACTGGAGGTCATTATCTTCAGTGAAACAACTCAGAAACAGAAAGACAAATGGTGCATGTCTTCACGTATAAGTGGGAGTTAATAGTGTGTACACATAGACATAGAGCGTGGACTGATAGATGGAGACTTGAAAGGGTGGGAGTGTTGGGGGTGGGTGATGAGAAATCACTTAATGGATACAGTGTATGTTATTTGGGTGATGGACACACAAAAACCTCGGCCTCCACATTATGCAACATATCCATGCAACAAAATCAGACTTGTACCCCATAAATTTATTTTAAAAATTTTAAAAAGAAGCTGGCACAGAAATAACATCATCCAACAACCATTAAATATGAAAAAAATGCTTGAAAATGTTGACCCTTGGGAAGGAGGGATATTGAAGGTCTTGGGATGTGCTCCTTATGTATGCAGCACGTTCAGTGGCAGACATGCACCCCTGCCCACATAAACCGAGGAACGTCTATCCTTTTAGGAAGTAATCTGTACTAGGTAAGCCCCACTCCCACCCCACCGCCCTTGGATTTGCTTGGTGGCCTGGTTTGTCCCTGGACATGCCCACAGACCTCTTAGCTCTAGATGTGATGATCAAAGGGAAAGTCTTAGCTCATCAACCTTGGGGCCCAGAACGACCCGCTCTGGATGGGCCTGAGCCCTCAGGAGGGACCTGATATTTTGTTGCGTATATAGGCTAGAAACTACAGTGTGGCAAAGGGTATTTAGGCAAAGGCATTAAGCTAAAAGTATTTTGCTTGATAAATTGGGTGATTTAGGCCATATTATACTCTGGATTTCTAGGAAACAAAAACAAAGCATAATAATCACCGTAGAAAGTTTTGAAGATGAAATCACTTTATAGAATATTAACTTAGGAAACCCTTCAAGGTCTTCTGGTGCCATCCATTTACCAAATGGTGGAAGAGTGAGATCCGGAAGTCAACGGTCTTGCTGTAGCTAGCTGGTGGCAAACGAAGCCTCAGGAAACGCAATACAGTCCCCCTTGCACGACAAGATGCCACTCATTATAAAAACTTGATTTCACCCAGTGTTCCAGCAGAATCATGTGGACTGAATAACAGCTGATGCCACACATCAGCCCCAAAATGGCCATTTGTAAAAAGCCAAGCCCATCTAGCACTGAACTAAAAAGCACGAATGTGCTGATGTAACGCTCCTCTTGATCTCATGCTCCCAGTTACCAAATGTCCTGTTACTTCCATTTCTGTTTTTGGACACTTGGTTACAAGAGATGCCTGTACCTGTT